CGACGTCGCAGCGTTTGCTGGCCGTGAGTGAAGCCCGACGCCTTGAACACCGTTCTCCACGGCTTGCCCTTCGCGGGCCTGCGCCGCCCCGTCGTGCCTCAACGGCTCGACGATACTATTCCCCGAGGGGAGCGGATGCATGTCTAGCACCCCCGAAACTACAGACTGACCGTCTGAACTAAAATCTAAACTATGTACAGAACTGTTGCCGACCCCGAGTGTCACACTCTGATCGACCCCGCTGATCCCATCAGCCTCAGCGAGAGGCGCGCCCGCGCTGCGCCGAGCACCGCGCCTCCGTCGCCGTCTTCTTCCTGTCCGTCCTACCTGCGGCCGTGCACCCAGAGGTGCTCCCTGACACGGCGCCGACCTGGGCCGGCCCGGGTCACTGGCCCCCCGCGCGCCCCCTTCCCCGGTCCGCGCCGCGCTGCAGGGCTCGCTGCCCCGGCGCTGCTGCTGGTCCAGCCCCTCCTCGGCCCCAAGCGCTTCCTCGCGCTGGCCGGGGGCTGCGATAATCCGGCACCCGCCCGTTGTTGTCGGCGTGCCCCGTCCTCCTGTCGATGACCTCCCGATCACCTCCTGGGCCTCGGCGCCACGCTGTGCCGTAGCCGTGCCTCGCGGCCGGCCGGCTCCCCGCGCGCGCCCATGCTCTGCTACCTGGCCGACAAACACGGCCCTCGGCTGGGGCGTCCCCGCGCCGTGGTGTGTTTCCAAAGCCCTCGCACCCAGCAAGCTGAGGAGGACAGTACACTGTTTGGAAAAGTGACCGTATAAACTACACCACTGGCACCGCGGGACGCGCACCCGAGAGTTCGCAGCGCCGCGCCCGGCCAAGAGCAAACCCTTCCTCTTTGCACCACCAGTCAATTTGTGGCCCAAAAATTGAAACTTTGACTCTCCTCCTACCCGACCGGCCCGCGCGCGCCGCGAACCTCTCCCACGCCGTCGCGTCCTCCGCGGGGCTCTCCGGGGCGCGGGCGCTCTGCCCGGCGCCGACCTGGAGGCCTCACCGCACCGCCATGAACACGTGGTGCTCTCGCAGCTGCCCGGGGCGCCGCTGTCGCACCCGCACGAGCTCAGCCGCGAACACGCGGCACACTTACAACTGAAAATATTACTACACGAGGAGATGGGAGACTGCGCCCCATCCCCTAAACCACCCCCGGACCCGCCATGTGACCCGGTGGCTGCCACCGTCACGCTATCGTTATCCCAGTCCTCAAGAGACAATCCACACGACGGATGAAAAGCACACGCTGAAAACATTGTGATCGCTTCCTAACGTTCCACGCACGTGCGAAAAATGGAAAACTCAACAAAAACAAAACAGAAAACTCGAGAAATAAAACAATTGCATTTCTAGTTTCAAAATTCAAATTACTCTATGGAAAAAGATTCTAATGTCCTACCGACTGCGCCAATGTTGTAAAAGCAAAATGATGTGAATGTCGTGACCGAAAATAACTTTAAATGTGTTAGAATGCTTTGAAATGCGAGACGGGAGCAAAATGTCTCGCTGACTATTTTCGCTTAATTACAACTCCCGAATAATTTGACATCAGAATCGACTAGTTAAAACTTGCTTATGTGCGTGGAATATCAGGATATCAGGATCGTAAAAGGGGATAACACAGGTTTCAAATATAAATATATAATTAGAATAAGTACTTACATTACAGACAGCAGCAGCCACACGAGTCCAGGCCAGGTCCTAGGGGTGTCTTCTTGTTGCTGACTTCCTACTTTACTTGCTGATAACTCTACTACTACTGATTCGGCCGTCCGCTCCGGCCCCGGGCCCGGAGGCCCCGCGCGGCGGGCCGCCCGGCGGCTGCCCGCCCGTCACCCTCGGCAGGTGACCGAAGTGACCCTTCGGCTTCCCGGCCGACGCGCGCGCTATGCGCCAAAAATACGAAAAGTTAACAGCTTCGCGTTGACACCGCAGTTAGGCGGGAGATTCAAAATTTACAAATTAAAACTTTACTTTAGCTGTTGTTGTTTCACAACACTGTATTCCTACATTGCGCCATTCTTTCCTTTACAAATGTATGATCCCGTCACTGGAAAAACAAACGTGCTATCTAGCACCTCTTAAAGGTGCTACTGCAAGTGTCTTTTGTAAAGACACTAAAAATAGCTCCCTTGGAGACCAGTAGTGCCTTTGTACAGTCGCAATATCATGTTACTAACGCCTCTTTGCGCACACTGGTGATATGGTAACCTCAGGTGACACACGCCCTCAAGACAGTGTCAATTCCTTCCGAGGTGGCAATAACTCCCCTTTGGTGTGTACACATGATTCCGGAAATACGTACTTGATTCCCAGTGATTCCCGTCCGCTTATACTTGTTCCTTAGGTTTCCTAGGGGTAGAAAACTCTTATTTCGACTAATTTGCACCAGTTCCACTACACTGTTAACGCCGTGGTCGCCTATCTTGCCAAAACGTTGGCAGTCCTTTTTGATTGCCAAATTTTGGTCTTCTTTTGAAAGAAGGCCAACTTTTGGCAAGCAAGGAGGCCAAAAATTGGCAGCCACAAAAAAGACGACCAGAATTTGGCAAGCAAGTAGGCTAAAAATTGGCAGCCTCCAAAAAGACGACCAAAATTTGGCAAGCAAAGAGGTCAAATATTGACAGCCTCCAAAAGACGACCAAAATTTGGTAATCAAAAAGGACTGCCAACATTTTGGCAACCTGGTAGGCGACCACGGCGTCAACAGTGTAGTTTCTCACTTGGCTTTTAGCGATTTCTGTTGATTTCGATTATTTTTTATCCTGATGATTTCCAGGCACGTGTACTGTACACATGCTTTTCCCGGAGTTGTAGCCCCTTTGATTCCTTTCTATCTTTGATTTACATGTAAAAGTACCAACGGCATTTTCAGGTTAAACTTGAAATTGATATTTGTTTGTTGCAGACCTGGCCGTGGGCCTCATCAGCGTGCCCACTGACCTCGTGTGGTACATGACTGTGGAGTGGCATGCAGGCAACCTCGCTTGCAAGCTCATCCGCTACCTGCAGGTTCTAGTGACATACTCGTCTACGTACGTGCTCGTCGCTCTCAGCATTGACCGCTACGACGCCATCACGCATCCCATGAACTTCTCCAGAAGCGGTGGGTAGACACTTTAGCAGTTAGACTGGAAAAAATAAGAATTCAAAAGGTACATAGGTACACCGATAAACTAAGTTTGTAACTGCTTAACACTTGGAAGTGTGCAACTGCTGAACTCTTGTAAGTGTGCAACTGCAAGTTGAATGCTTGCACGTGTGCAACTCCGTAATTGGCTGAACGTTAGCAAAGTCCATGATGGGGAATTTAGTCTCGTGTGACCCGTGGCCTCACGGCGGTGAGGCGGCCTCACTGAGATCGCTGGCCTTAAGAGGTTTTGAGGACTGTGATTAGCTGCAAACCCTTGAGACCACGAGACTAAATCCACCATTAGTGTGGATACAGAGTTCACGAAACGCAAGCGTGATTTTCACGCAAGGCGTGATTTTTCACGCCAGGCGTGATTTTTCACGCTTCGTAAGCTTCACACAGCCAATCAGGAACCGACTTTCATCACGCCTGGCGTGAAAATCACGCTCGCGTTTTGGGAACTCTGTATCCACCTTTACTTCACTAAATGAAAAAGTTATATTCTGTTCAGTTGCTGTTTGTTTTGTTTGTTATGTTTGTGTGTTTGTCTGCATGCACAATAAGTCAAGAAGGAATTGATGTAGAGATCTGGGAACTTCAGGTTGTTCTATATATCATAAGAAAGACAGAGCGAATTCAAAAATAAGCACTCTAGCTCGAAAATTGATTTCTAAAAAAAATCAAGAACCACAGGCCGCAAAAAATATTTCTGAAATATATTTTCCTTATGATTTTTAATAGGTAACTCTTAAAAGTAGGGCCCAAGGTCCAAAATTTCGTCTGTCTTCTCCTTACGAGTACCGTTAGGCCTTAGAGGGCATTTTTTTACGAAAATTGGGTGAAAATGACCAAATGGCTCATTAATTCGCCAAAAAGGCGTCATATCGAAAAATTGTAAAAGAAATAAAACTTAAACCACACATTTGCGCGTCGAACCACTCTCCTGATGATTCTAGATGCCCTAGATTACCCACTTTCGTTAAAAATAAGTTGACTTTTCTATAAGAATCTGACAAAAATAGCACTTTTAATGAATATTTTACCGGATATCGGATATCATATTTTTGTTTTTGCAGTGATCTCGTTGTGTCATCACCCAACACCAAACACCCCCACACCACGCGATTTCTCTCTTCCCCCTCCCCGCCGTTCCCCCGCCGTCTCTCTCTCTCTCTCTCTCTCTCTCTCTCTCTC